TGTTGCGCTGGCCATCCCCACAGATTCTGCGTCTGGCAGACCTGAAGAAATCAGGGCATTCCTCTAGCTGCCTGATCCGGGTTTAACCATCTGCTCTTCATAAAGGAATGAGAAGGAGCAAGGTGGACAACATGGCAAGGATGTGATGAAATGTGTATTCGTGCACTTGGTGATCACTGCAGTAGTACTGATACAGTTGAAAGAGCTTGGCAAGCATATATCAGCCACTAGGATGCAAGTATCTGCTCTAGCCTCACCATGTTCACATGGACATTCACAGAACTTCCCCTGGTTTCACCGATACTACATGGACATCATTTCTGCTTGGCCAGGAAAGGAATTAAAAGCTGGGGTGAGCAGCCAGGCCGACCGGAATCCACAAGGTTTTGGATTTCAGACATTTATAGAGCAAGAATGCAGAAGCCGGTCTTGAAACCAAAACAAAGCAAGCCCAAGAGTCAAAGATGAAACCACTTCCCAGGAATACAGAGGACACACATTACTGGCGGTTTGTGAAAAGGTGTCACCTAAATCTGCCTGTTCTCTCAGCTCGAGAGGTAGAATTTGTGCATAATTCATGACCTCTCTTTGGAAGGGAGCAGGAAATGGTAGCCAAAGCCTGGGAGCCTGGTTCCAGTGCCTGGCCTCTATCTGCAGCATGGCAACTGGAGTGGCCGGACACTGCCAGCTGGCCTGTGGAGACCTGCGAGGCAGCCGTTCTGTGCCAGCGCTGTAGAAACAATTAAAATGCATTTGCAAAATGAAGTCCTGTGTTTCATCTCCATCGTTTCCCAGGGCGTGAAGCTACTCCTACCTACGTGCTGAAAATAATGGACTGGGCTCTACCCTTTTGTGACTATTGAGTTTTTGCACCACCTTGTGCAGAGCTACTCAGACATCAGTTTTCGGGTCAGACTCTGCCAGCGCAAAGTGGAAGAACAAATGCAAGCCCAGAACCAAGGCATCTGGCCTGTTTTTTGTGTTTCCACTTGAGCAGAGGTGATTGCCTTACCCTCATACCGGTTGCCAAAAGGGCAACGGCAACCCATCCTCTCCGCGTGTTCATCAGTTATTTCATGTCTGTCATTCAAGGAGTGTTATTGAGACACCTAAGTTAGCTGCTCCTTGGCTGTCATTTCGGCGCGGCGAAGGCACCCAGCAATTTGCAGGCATTCGGGCGGTTGGTACCTGTGGGCCAGCAGTGGAGCTGGTTGTGGGAGGCAGTGGACGCAATCACGCCGCTGGGATGCAAAGAGGATGCGCTTACCTGGCTACACGCTTGAAAGCCAAGTGCTTGAATGAGCTGCCCAACAGCTGCCTCCCAACGGCTCCGGCCCACAGGGACCTGTCAACCTCTCTTCGGAGCCGACCAAACTCACAAGCACTTGATCACAAACAAATAACTCTTAGCCTCCCATGAGCCAGATCAGAGTTCGGAGAAAAAACACCCTGGCAATCTTTAAAATCTTGCCGTCCGAGTTCAGCTAAACTTGACATACAGTTCTGCCTGGAAAAGGAGATATTGTGATTGTTTCAAGCTACTCAGTTTTTTGGGTTTTTTTGGTAAGTACTCTCTCTCTCTCTCTCTCCTCCCTCTGCCTCTCTACAAGTATGCAGCGACAATGATCTGAGAGCGTGCAAGAAAAACTGCTTTACTTTTTCCTGAAAGCTCTCTACTGAAGGTGGCGTTTCCCCACCTCCACGCTGCTGACAAACGCTGATGTAAACAGCATGCATATGCCCGCCTTAAAGGCCACTGGGGTTTTCACGTGAATCCTGTGTTTTTTCCACAAACCCTGTTACACTGTATTTCAGCTTAAAATACATCTCCTCATTTCTGGTTAACCTATAATCCCTGTAAGGCTAATACAGGTTACAGCAGTCAGCAAAACCACTCAGCAGAACCAAATTCAGAGCTCTGGCATGAAACCCTTTCAAGAAATACATAAAGTGTGGCCGTATTAAAATCAGAGAAACCAATACTGACACAAATCACAGGCTGAAATTGTTTGAAAGAAAACACCAGCTATGCCTTCGGTGTTGATGGGAGTAAAACATGTCATTTATAACGCCACCGAAATCATAACAGGAAGGAAGTAGACCTCAGAAACTATAAACAGAAGTTAACAGAAGTAGGAAGCACTTCAAATGCTTTCACGTAGTAACTGTAAAAAAAGATACTAAAAGGAGAAAATGTTTTCAGGGGGTTTTCTTGTTTGCCTTTTTTCTTTTTTTCCACTTTACGTATCCATTAGTTATTTTGAACAGTAAGAGATGATCACAAAAGTCAAACGCAGCTTTAAAGTCCTCTCGTGCTAAATAATTTATGGTACAAATCAACAGCTTGATTTTCCTTTCATTCTTCTCCCTGCCCCATCCCTCCAAGAGAAATATGTCAACCTCTTTGCTTGGCTAAAATAAGCCTTTCTCCTGCACCTCCCTACATTCAAACTAAGCAAGTTGTGTTTGGCCAGAACGTAGATGGTGCTCTTCCCCCTCCCTCTTCACAGCTGATGACTTCAAATTACTCTCCTTCAAGGAAAATAATTCGAAGCTCATTCCAAAGCCAACAATGGTAGTACACCTCGACAGTCAGTCAACGGGAACATGCATGTAAAGAGAAAATGCCCTCCCCCCATCAGCAGACACTTCACAAATCTCATAACTCCTTTTCACACCTTGCTCTGTCTGTAATCGACTGTACCCGGGGACCCTTCTCAGGACCCTGATTTCCAGTAAACAGGGGCTGCCTGGTAAATTCACTCCTATTCACCATTTCTGTACACTTGTCACCCTCCCCTACACCCCCTCCCAGCTTTTCTCGCTTGAAAGCACTCTGGAAACTACAATCACCAGTAACCGCCACCTCCAGCTCCAGCCGCCACCCCGGCAAGCTGGGGGGTCCCTGAGTGCTGGGCTGGGCTGGGGGAGGGAAGGCACCAGCCCGATCCCCAGCTTTGGAGGCCACGGAGAGGCAGGGCAGAGCCCTCAGGCGCGTGGCGGCTCCAGTTCCCCAGCTGCAGGGCTCTGCTGCATCGCCCATGGTCCAGGAAACCAGCAGCCAAAGGGCAACCTCCCTGTTTTCCCTTCTTCTGCTCACTGTATCTAGCATCGCAGACATTTTTGTGAGGGGAAAAAAATTTAAAAATCCTTACCTTTTGACCTCTCCCTGCACTTTTGGCTTAAAACACAGTTCCCCATAGACTTAGCCAGCAGTGCTGCCCAGGTTCACAGTGCAGAACCGCACACGCTAGATTTGCCCCGCTACTGAAAACAACACATACGAATCGAGTTGGTAGGGAATAAGGACTTTATTCTAAAAGATGTGAGCTGAAGCAATGAGCATATGAAGCAACGACCACTAGAAAAAAAGTGAAAAAAAAAAAACAAACCCACATCAAAATATTTGTATTGTACCAGTTCAGTTTGAACACAAAAGTCCCTTTCAGTAAAATGTATGCACAGGCCAAAAGCATATGCAGAAGCTCTGAAAGTCACCTAGAGCAGCGCTTTTAATGTGTAAGAAAGAGGTGTCCCCTACAAAAAATCTTTAAGCCAGGAAAAACACTTCAAGTAACAAAGAACACAAAAGTAAAAATGAACTGTTAATTCGGCTTGGCATTGTGGAGAAGGAGAGGGATAATATATCCCAGAAGAGTATGCATCTTTAAGATGTATTAAATTCAAAGTCCCTAGAACACAAGTCTGCTGCCAGACCAAGTACCGTTTTCTTCTTCCTCAGTCAGAAATTCAAGTGAAGTATGTCTGTTAAGGACAGGGAGGTCGTGTTCTGGAGCTAAAGCGAGTAAGATCACACAGTCTGCTCACCAGCGAGGAAAATTCACCGACATGCATACCCAACAGACCTCTTCATCTTTATAACATTACCCTACCACTAAAAGCTGCATATTGCATAGAGTTATATTTTTGCAACTTTTTCTACAACAAAGGTTAAAACAAGTATTTTCTTGACTATCTATCAGAGGCCAAATGCTGCTCTCCTGGAACTCTCCCTTCACATTCGTTTCCCTGGAAGGAAGCTGCAGGTGCACAAGGAGTGCAGACCTGGCTCTACACAAGTCAGAGGTGGTAGCTATTGTAAGCTGGCTCACACATGTGGCACCAAAAAAAGGACCATCAGGACCATTTCTGTGCTATTTTCAAGGTCTGTCAGCTTAATTCTAATGCATACATATATGTGTGTGTATATATATAATGCATAGTAGCTTTCAATTATAAGGAAAATGTAATTTATTTTTAAACTGCTCTTTGAGACTCTAGAATTTTAGTGGTTAATCCACTAAATCCACAGGTAATATGAGCTAAACGGTCACTTTTCTTAACACAGTACCATAAATGCATCACCCTAGAAACCCAACAACAACTGTGGCAGCAACAAAATTCATCGTCAGGACAAATGTCAGTCAGGCATTAAAAAAATAGTCTCTGAAGAATTGCATTGGTTTTAAAAAATACACTGAAATATTCTCTACAAGAATATAGGCATCACACTTACGTATCTAAATTTATAACCGCTTACATGTATTAGCTATTCTCAATAAAACCATCTACGTTTGCTACCCACCTATAGTAGCTACAGTTCCTAATTGGGAACACCGCAAATGTTATGCACCTTCCCTGAGATCAGTAATCCACAATAAATAGCCCTGCAAATGTAACAGTGTAAACTCTGGATTTAAGTTTTCAGTAAGAATCAGTCCTCAGAACCCGAGGAGAACATTAAGCAAACGTAAACACAGCAATCGTTTCGTCAGTTTTGAGTTATTCTCAGCGACAGCGGAACCTATGCGAGACGTAGCATCCAAATGTTGAAGACCCGTCATTTGCATCATACAATAGGGTTGTCCTAGTTCACTTTCCTATCATCGAACCCCTGAACACATCCAGCTGTGATGTGGATCTCCAAATTGCGACCCAGATCTGCTCCTCCACTCTGCATAATCTTTACAGTGCCTTTAAAAGCACCCTTTCTGAGGATCTTATTCTTGAATAGAGGAATGGCGAATAGATCTGTGATAATCCTCTGGACAAGCCACAAGTTCTGGTAAATCATAGCCTCTCAGAAGATGTCCACTGTTTTGTTGAGCAAAGTAATACAGCTGCCTGGCAAACATTGGTTCAACCTTAGGAACAGACAAAATGTTAATCAGACACGTGACAAAAATTTCATGCTCCTCATCTTAGTTACTTACGGCGGTTTCAAGTTAAAAACAAGGTGGGACAAAACGTTTCTGCTTACCAGGATGGGAAAAATGATTTCAGGGGGAGGTGTCACTAATGGTTGTTTTAAGCTAGGGCTTGCCTGTTCCGCTGCCAAGCGCCTTGCTAACGGCACATACTCCTTACCGCCACAGCCTTCGTTCCGCAAGGCGCGTACCACTGACACGAATGGCGCGTTAGCAATTAGCAGCCCTTGCGCCAGCCCCCGGGGACGAGCGATGCCTACGGGCCGGACACGTCCGTGACCACTCGACGTGTTCACACCCACACACGAAGTGCTGCATCTCGTCTGGGCTGCAAAGCACTTTCAGGTCTTAACTTGATGTGCTGGAGCCCTCGGGTAGGCTGAGGTATGTCGCCGAATGACTGTGTTGGAAATGAGACTTCAGTCTAACACCAAGGTTACTCTTGCTTCTGTTCATTCAAGCCCTGATGAGGAATCTGTTCAACCACCAAAAGGCATTCGTATGATTTAATGCTCCCTACGCTTCTACCTCTTCAGAAACCACCATTCCCCCTCCAGGCTTCGGTCTCCAACTGCGAGTATTTAAGTTGCGCACTGAGAACAAACACCTGAAGCTCTCCTTACTCTGGGGGGATGGACAGGTTGGACAACTCTTGTCCACAACCCTCTCCTGCTGGTCAGCCAGCCCCTCCACATTAAGACCACTGAGGAGGAAATATACGCTGTCTGTGTGTCCCGCCTCTGGGAAGGGAGAGAGCCAGAAGGGATTGCTGCCTTGGAGCAGCCCCACCAATCCACTTTCCCTTCCTCTCATCAGCATTAGGAGCCAGCTGAGCACCCTCTGTCCCACCACGGGGGAGATGGGAAGGCAGCGGGGCGGGTGAGCCAGACAGCTCCCAGGGCACTGCTGTTTGGTGGGATGGTGGAGCCCCACCAGCCCGTAAGCCAGGACAGCCCAAGAAGTTGATGAGCAACTGGTAGGGGAGAAGCAAAGCTCTGGAACGAGCAGGAGGTACAGACTCACAGAAAAGCTGCCAGGACGGGAGATGGAGAAGGGAACTGGAGAAAGAACGCTAGGAAGGAGGGATGGATAGCTTGGGATGGATTTGTGAGCTTCCCACTTTCCACTCATTAAGCAGCAGTGTGGCAGTACAAAAGCTACGCAGCCACAGCTTATGACAGAAGTCTGACTTGGGATCCAAGCTACTAATGATGGGGCTTTCGAAAAATTAAAAGAAACACCAGTTTTCTCCCCCAGGATGCAATAAGCTAAGCCCTGCTGCTAACGTGTGCATTATCACCTCTCTTGTGGTTTTATGGGCCAATACAGCCAATTTAGAAAGTACCTGGTCTCAGTCTCTGTCATCGCCCTCTCTCAGATAGCATCCCGAAACACTAGCTCTGAGTGTGTGCGAACTGTGGTCAGTCAGCCCATGAGCTTGCCAGCTACCTTTATCCCGAAGCTGCACAGGCAGCCCCTGCATCCCTTTAAGGGCTGAGGTCCAGGAGATGCAGGCTGGGATTCTGGAGCTCCTTCAGGCACAGCTGTTGTGCCAGGACTGCGTCCTGCACTGGCCTGACAGCCCAAGAAGCTGCGCAACAATAACACAGCCCAGCTCTTCCAGCTTTAGGGTCTGAAGGGATTTGAAAAAGAGATCACTGGTGCTCCGCAGAGAGGGAAACCAGGTGCGCTGTCCTGCTGATGGCCACCAGTCAGTGCCTGGCAGCTGGGGATTCAGCCCCGGTCTGGACAGTGCTGCATTTCAAGAATTTATTACCTCCCTCACAACCTACACAAGGTAGAAAAGCCTGACTGGCAGATTCATATCCTCCAAGGAACGTTTCTTTTAGATAAGGCAGAAGTCCTACTTACATGAGCTGTAATTAGTTTCCTCTGCCTCTGCGGATCTGGAAATTCTTCCCCAAAGCACAGAGCGACCTGGTATCTTGGCAGTGGGCGTCCATGGTGAGCAAAGGCTTGCAGCTCTGGGAAGAGAGAAAGGGACGGGTTGTCGGTTAGCCCTGACAGTCAGGTAAGCACACGCATCCCACACCTGGGATAGGGGAGAAAATGGGAAGGGCAAAAGTGAGAAAACTTGTGGGTTGAGATAAAGATCGTTAAATGGATAAAATTAAAAAAAATAAAAAAGGAGAAAACAAACAAATAAGAAAAGGGATGCAAAAAGCAATCGCTCACTACCAGCTGACCAATGCCCAGCCAGCCCCTAAGCAATAGCAACCACTGGGAAACTCCTCCCCACCTCCCAGTTTTGCTGCTGACCACAAGGTCATACGGTACGGAATACCCTTTTGGTCAACCTGGGTCAGCTGTTCTGGCTGTGTCCCCTCCCCGCCTCCTCCTGCTGCAGGGGCAGAGTGAGAAACGGAGAAAGCCTTGATGCCGTGCCAGCACTGTTCAGCATTAGCTAAAACATCCCTGTGCTACCAGCACTGTTTCGGCAACAAATCCAAACCGTAGCACCACATGGGCTGCTATGAGGAAAATGAACTCTATCCAGGCCAAAACCAGTACAGACTGGTAAGAGAGACGTTAGGGGTGGCTGACCTCCTCCAAATGGAAGATCCCTGGAGCACAGGGGAAGAAGATGGCGTGACTCCAGGGGCAGATGAGAGAGTTCAGGAAAAAGGCGAGAGGTGAGGAGAAGACACTGAGTTTGGAGACTTTCCCATAGATCAGGGGGAGCTAGTTATAACACTGCAATTTTTCTGTTTGCCTTGCCTCACAAGTCACTTCATATGCACAAACCGGAACACCTTCCAATTAGCATTCCTACTGGGTCTCCACAGCAGAACCTCCTGGAGCAGACGGCGGCGGTAGCCGTGTCCCACTCAAGCGGACGCCCAACAGCGGCACTGAAACCAATGGTTGAGTAAAGACAGAGACTCAAAGTACTGCCAGGCATGAAATTCAGCCCCAGCTGAACACAGTCACGGAGCCACTGTCACCACTGTGCCTAGTCAGGGACATGGAGGCATGGGTAGGTGAAGGGCCTTATTTAAGCCATGCACCAAGCCAGCAAAAGAGCCTGTCTTCTGCGCTCCTGCACTCTCTTCCCTAGCCCACACCCTTGCACAAAAGGAAAAGGTCAAATTATGTAATTATTCCCATAGTCCAAGTGTCCCCTGCGGAAGGTAGCAGTGGAGGCCTTTATAAGAGACTGTCACTTCAGACCAAAATCTGTTTTTTAGACACTGTATTTCCTTCCACAAAAGAGAAAATGTCATCTAACACAATATCCTTGTGAAAGTCTGCGTTATGTGCAGCATTTCTACATAGTTGATTGGCAAAGATTCCATTTTAATTTATAACCCTGTTCATGCTTTCTGGAAAAAGTTGAAATTAATATTAAAATCAATGTCTTATAATGAAGCACACACTGCTATACATGGAAAGGACAGTCTTCAAACTTGGCATGACAAATGTACCCTTTCCCAAAACACACCTCTGCCATTTCGACCGTAACTGCAAGCTTTCCAGACCAAGGTGTGAATTCAGCAGCCACCACAGCAGTGTCCCAGCCTTGGCTTGGGACTACTGGTCTTACTAGGAGGGTCAGTTCCAAGAGTAAAACAAGGGGCGGTTCACTTTAAATCACAGAGTAAAGCATGGTTCTCCCCAGAGTCTCCCCCAAAACCTCCTAAAAGCACTGTGAACTTTTTGGAGGTGCACCAGGAGTGAAGAGGGATTTTCCATTGGACCCTGCTTCCCTCCATGCTGCCACAGGACAGGAAAGGATAATCCCCCCCAAGGCCAGTCCAACACCATACTGCTAATGGCGAACTTCTGCCACCTTCCTCTTTCCCCCAGTTTTACTTGGCCTCAGCAATTCTCCAATTCCCAAATACCTATGGGAGCACCCCACAGCATCCTGTGTGATGGACCTGCAGAAGAAAGCCCTTTCTCTCCCACCAGCAGGATGGATCGGGGCTTGAGGTCAGTCACGTGCTTTTCCAGCACCCTCCATTTGCTCCGTCTTTCCAGGCCCAAGCGCCTCCTCCTGCACTTCAGGGCTCCCCACGTGCCTCCCCAAACCTTCCCCATCTCCTGCTACTCCAGCTCCAGCTGCCTCTCCACTGACAAGCTAACCCTCCTCAGGCTGCCACCCTCAACGCTCCCAATTCTTTTCCTCTGTCCTCCTACTCTCCACCCAGACGAATTTACTGCATTTGTTACGCACTGCTCCCCAGAGACCATCCACCTGGTTCCTCATGCGTTGTCATTTCAGCCTTCTCAAGGCTACAGGCTCCTCAGCACAGGCCTCGATGCTTCAGGGAAGTTCACAATGCAGGGATCAGCTCCTCAACGGGGTCCTAATAGTTATGGCCCACAGTAGATCTGCTTCTGCCCCTTTCTCTGCTGTTCAGTATTTCCCCTCCTGCTAGAGGTGTCCTGCGCCTCTTCCCAAGGAAGCCTAAAGGGAAGAATCCCCAAACTCGCCTGCAGTCTGGGACCTCAGTACATCCAATTAACATGCAGCAGTGGCACCTCCATGGCAAGTCACTTGCTAACCTGGCTGAGCATCAACACATGCAAAAACTCAGTTGGCACACACTGCAGACTACGACTTCAACCATATGCTTGGGTTTGCGCATGCATCGGTGCACAAGTAATTTAGGAGGGGGAAAAAATAACTATTGCTTGAGCTTATCTTTGGGGTTAGGTGTCTAAAAAGAGATGTCCTGTCAACCGTTTGGAAGAACCCAGAGTACATCTGAAAAACCACCTGAGAAAAGGGAAAGGGATTTCCAAAGCCATCATCAGAGGCAGAATTGTACATCTTTAAATTAGCATGTGATTGAAGCCCAAGCCAATACCCTGACCTCAAATTCCCCTTTCTAACTGTCAATTTTCACATCCATATGAGCTTTCTCTCTTTAAATGCATTTCTTGCTTGACCGTTTTACTAGAATGGTGCATCAACTTTGGAATATAAAATAGGCTAAAGCTGGTTTTTTGTGTTTGGTGGTCTGTTTTGGGGTTTTTTTGTTTGTTTCTGGTTTGTTTTTTTTTTTAATTTTGCAGGGCATTATTCTCCAAAGAGACTCATGCTACTGCTGATGCCCTGGCCTAATGGGAAGACACGCCAAACCACAGGCACTCAGTTCACCTGTAGCGACGCCACACATCTCAAAAAAGGGGCAACATATTCCCACTGCCCAAGTTGTCATCTGCAACCACAACCAGTTCCTCTGGGCAGACAGCATTCCGCCCTCTAACTGCTCCAGAGTGCTGGGAAGTGGGGTTGAGGCTCTGCCCGCCCCTTCCCTCATGGGCTGGAAGGAGAAGGCACTGCCCTGAGGTGTGCCCTTGCCCTCTCCACACTGATGTTCCCAAATGTCCTGTGCAAAATGACACCTTACCACATTTCTCTGGAAAGGTCACGAACCTCCTTGCTTAGAGCAAGCCAGAAACTCCAGAGTTTGTGAAATCTTTTTTACACCACCCCCGCCAGATACCTTTTTAAACACTGGGACAAACTGAAAAAAAAGGGCTTTCTACTGAAATTTATGCTGATACTCTGAGCAAGATCTCAGGCTCGCTCTAGGTCAGGTTGAGAGCAGCATGACCGCAGATCACAGACCTACCCAAGACACACAAGCAGATCTAAGATCAAGATCCACTCTCCTCTGTCACCCAACACATGGAAAGACTATTTTGTTAGATTCCTCCTTAGGCTTCTTAAAGAGATGTGAGGTTTGGGGTGTCACCAGCCAAGCATCAGTTCACCCCTGCTGGTTTGTGCAGGGGCATTGAATGCGCATGGAAAGCAGAATTTGGCAGGATTATTCAGGAATCAACTACCCCTTGACTGTGCTTGGCCAGAAGAAGTAGCGAGGGATAATTCTTACTGTAACCCATAAGAAAAGAGCACTCCCGTCATGTGGAGAGCGACCGGGTGGTGTCTCCGGAAACAATATCAAAGCCATAGTGGGAATTACCTGCTAAAAACTGCTGAGTGTCAAAGAGCTTGCATGTTTGGTCCCGCTCCAGCTTGTTGGGTCGGTCACTGCAGAGTGCCAGAGGTCCGTCCCAGTAGATCCTGCTTTGGCAAAGTCTCTTAGCGTAGAGGCCATCAGGCGCCATCCACAGTATTACTCCTCGTTCCAGGTGGCTCAGTAGTTTTTCTATGTTCTTCCTCTGGCCGTTATCCTCTGGATAAGGGAAGATAACTTGCTCCAGGCTGCTGACCTCGTAGCTTTGGCCATGGGATATCCTACAACCTTCAGGACTGGAAGTTGTCACCTCCTTTACCAGTATTTCACGGTAATATAAGCAGATGTGGAGCCGACAATCTACAAGGAGAGAGAAAAAAATAAGAGAATTACTGTGATACATTAGTACGACTGTTTTATGTTTCAGATCTGTACTAAGGCCAGGAGACAAGTTTTCCTGAGATTTCCAAGCTTGGGGTTCAGCACCACCCAGAAGACAGGCTCGCATTAGCCAAAATCTTCTAAAGAAGACAAATACTGAAACTTTTGGGCCACGGTAGCATTAATGCTCTCTCACTTTATTATAAGGGCTACTGACGTGGGAATTTGGTAGGAACAAACGTCCCACAAACTTCACATTTCTGTTTAAAAGGAAAAGCCTCCACATGAGAAGTTACTGTTTGTCACATTTTCCAAGTTCACGTCACAATTAAACCCACCAGCTCAGTACACTTCCTCAGATTTAATCAGGAAGTAGCTGTGTTTCTCCCCAGATTTTGCATAAAAGAGGCTTCTGCACAGGGGACCTGCAAGCTTGCACTCAGCTGCCTGAAGAGAAGCGGTGGCTGGCTCCAGCTCCAACGGGGCTGTACCTGAAATCCCCAGCCTTACTTTCAAACGGCCATTCAGTCAGCTTGGTTGACCCCGAAGAACTGACAGAGCATGGAATATAAATATATATACAAAAATATATACATGTGTGTATATAACGTGTGTTTGCATATGCACACACATACACACAAGCACATACATGTATACATACATGTGATTCTGTGACTCTATACAGACCCTGAGAAAAGCACATTCCCACACCTTTTCCCAAACTTAATCAGAAAGTCCCCCAGCATCCGGACATCTGCAAACCTGAATGAAATAACTTTCCTTCTCTTTCCCAAATGCCCGTTTTTTTCACCAGGAATAAAGAAGCAGAGCAAAGCCAGGAAGCACCAGCAGGAGCACAGCAAGGAACCCAGGTAACAGCAGCTTTCGGGGGGGCCTCCTCCCAAATGAAAAACTGAGCTCAAAGTCACTGACAACCCCCAAATTTCCAAACTCCCCGGGGAAGGCCTGGATTGGTGGCTCACCGAAGCAGCCCAGCACAGACATGGTGAAGCACATCCATTAACTTTAATCACCATCTCCTCATTCCTTGGAGATGGAGGCTAAAAGTGCTTAACTATCTCAGCAAACAGAGGCTTAAGCCCATACACTGAATTCACTGATTAAAGAGGTTTCTTTCTTTTTTTTTTTTTCCCCCCTTCTTTTTTCTTTTCATCAGAAAGGAGAGATGGTGCCAGGGCAAGTCAGACGTGGGAGTCTCTTGTCAAGCTCCCCAGAAAGCCCAGGGGGGACATTACGGACCTTACCTGTCAGGGCGAGGGCTTCACCAGACCTTATGCTTGGCTCAATCGGGATGCCAGGAGTCTGGGACTCAGGAGGGGCACAAGCATAAAAGGTTCCTGTCACCTGACAACCTGTTTTCACAAACAAAAGTCAGTGACAGCTGCCTACATCCTAAAAGAAAAGCTTGGGCAGAGATCACAGCGATGCAAAAGTGAGTTTTTCTGGGCCCCACCAGGAACTCTCTCTCTGTTTCCCCCTTCTTTTTAAAAAGATCCTATTTCCCCTTTTTCTCCACGCACACCAACCCTACCAATCTCTTCAGGCATTACTTGGACTGTATTTTTATTTGGGTCTGCATGATATACTCGCTTAGCATTGCAGGATTCCCCCTAGTCCTTTGTCCTTACCTAACACGTTATTCTATTACGGAAATAATTTACATTTTTAACTAGACTACACTGCTCTTAAAAGTTGCCTGCATAAAACAATCCATTTAATATAAGGAGTTTTACTAAAGACAGGTATAGCAATAAAGCTAGAATTAACACTGGTTTAAAAGCAGGCAAAGAAAATTGTGCAGCAGGAAATTATTAGGGTTTTGTTACCAGGACTACTATTAGACTGTTCCAAGAGACACCTTTCAGTAAGTGGATTATAACATGGGCGACTGATGTTTTCCTCTGCTTCTCAGTGTAAATAAAAGCCTTTGAAGGATGATGCCAGTGACTTGCACACAAGCACACACCACCTTTCCCAATGGCAGAACCCACCACGACCGGGAGCTGGAGCGATGTGGATACAGAACACCCCCATCTCCTGACACGTTATAGAGCCCAATGAGAAACCCAGTATCTACCACTAACAACTGCCTCCAGATTCAGCACAACGTACGAACGTACGTTTAACTGCTGCAGAGGACGGAGTATGGGGCAGAGTTCATTCCGCTTGCTACCTCGATCTTTTATTAGCAAACAGCTCAACTAACAGCAAAGAACTCTGCCTAATAATTCCAGTGTACTGCCACCAAAAGTTGCAGTGCACTGAGCATTTACTTCTTTTAGCAGACCCAAAGATTTCTCTGCACCAAAACCGCTAGAGAGCTGTCCTCTGAAAATGCAGCATCTGCTCTAGGAAGTCCTTCCTCGCTCCCCATCCTTCCCTGCCCTTCTGAACCAGCTGCTTCTCCTCATGAAGCAAAAGCCTGCGTCCTCAGGCGAGTTATCCTGCAAGGGGATATGGCACATGGTTCCCTTTCTCTTATGTTTTATTCCCTGCAGGCTTCAGAATTGCCACTTTTCACAATTCAGGGTTTTTCCTAAGGATGCAGAGCTTGGTATGCCACGATTCTGTTAGGCTCTGCTACTGTGAGATCTTCGGGGAAGGGAACGTCCCTTTATTCTGTTTCTGCTGTGCCAGCCCCAAGAGAGACTCGATCCATGACAAGTTGTCCCATTGCCACAGCACTAAAATAAAGTAATAATTTCAGCTTTCCTCTCAGGAGAATAATGCCATTCTAACCCACAAGGCTGGAGGGAAAACCTCACTGATGTGTGCCTCAAACGGTCCAAAATCAGAAAGCAAAGCTAAAGAACACGTTCCCATTTGGGGTTCTGGAAGGGAGGTCGGTTGCCTGCTTATTGCTCAGGGCTTTTGAGACAGCTGACGACTTTTGGGGGCTGACTTGTACCAACTCAGAAGACTGCACAGCCCACACACCACACACATGGTGGCAGTGAAAGCAAGAGCCAGGACAAAGGTTCTTGCCACGGACCCCGTGGCTCTCCGACGGGAGCCCAGCACTCCTCTCTGGCCACTTCTGTTAATCCCAGTGAAAGCCACACATAAGAAACCTGAAATCTGTGGCCCTAACAGGTGACCGACCTCAGCAAGCAGCCCTCACCAGAAGCCTCTTACCATTTTCACAGCCAGGCCCTTGCCAGTGATGGCTGCGAGCTGCGAAGGGGACGCTGGCGCACTGGTAGGGGATGTCGGGATGCGGCTGCTCCGGGGCAAACTCCCTCCAGTTCCGTTCATGGGGCACCATGTAGTTCGGTACCTAGTCAGTTGAACGAGATATTCTTTTACTCGGCAGCTGTCAAAACTAGTGCGCCGCATCGCATCAGCTTTCACATCTCGGCTCCTTGATTTTCTCTGCCAAAGCCCGCAGAGGTCTAAGCACTGCCCAGGCTACACGAATGGCACTTCGCCACCGCCACCAGTGAGGCTTTCAAATGAACTTCTCGCCACTGGTGTAAATAATAAGCAGGGTGGAATAACAAAAGGCAGTCAAAGCACTGCTGGTAAATGTCTCCTCGGCAGAGCAAGGCTTCGCTGGGTGCTTACATTCTGGCATCGGCAGAATGGCAGCGTGCTAATATCTATCGCCCGACAGAAAAGAGCTATTGCTCAGGCATAAACAACACCAAGGGAAAGCAACTACCCTGTGGCCTCATATGACATTAGGAAAGTTGCTTCTCGATTTCTCAGTCTTCATAATAAAGTTTCTTCCCAGAGAGAGCTAGAGACCCACGCCAGCAGAGACAGACATAGCCCACAGCACAGAAACGATGCTGCTCAGTGTACAAGCACCAAGTGAAATGCGTTAACTGATGTCATACCTGAGACGGTAGTGAGCTGTAAGGAGATGTTATTGGAAAGGGATGGTTCATCATTAACGGTTGGTCCTCCATGCTCATCTGTTTTGCACCTATGTTCACCAGAGGGATGAAAATAAACGCACATCTTAAGGAAATGTGAAATTGGCGCATCGAAGACAAATGCATACAACCTGCCTTTGAAGAAGAAGAGGACTAAAATCCCCCCCAGCACCCATTTGGGACAGGATTCCCAGCCTGCCCTCACAGGCAGCTACGGGAGGCAGTCTGTCCAGCTGGGCTCCCCGGTGTCCCACAGAAAAGAGCTGCCCACCCATACCCCCTGCACCACAATGCTCTCCCTGGGCTCTGCCAAGGCTTTGCCTCCCGCAAGCCCTGCCCAGCACTGGGGGCTTCTTAGAGCCAGCACTGCCCCCAGGCTCTGCCCAGGAGGCTGCAAACTGGGCACCCCTCACTCCCAGCTTTTCCCCACACTGCAGTTACCTATTGTCCAGCTCAAAACAATTCTGTGCTTCCCTGTAGCCAAAACCTAGATCCAGCAAGCTTTTTGGGTTTTTTTGGCCTGTCCCTTGAGCTGCTTGCTTGGCTCACTCTACACAGAACTGGCAGGGAGACCCCAGCTGAAAGAGCGATTCCTCCAGCGATGTGCAGGGCGCCCGTCCGCATCTTCCACAAGGGCTCCCTTTCAACGCTCCGACCGAAATGCCAGCCGTCCTCCCATGGACGCAGCCTCTTAAGTCAGCAGAACGAGCTGCACTTGAGCCCTGCATTTTGGCTCCTCAAAAGACTTAAAAAGACTGCAGGGCCATTCCAGAAAAGCACGCTCCAGTCCTCATATGCTCGCAATGAGACATATTCGCACCCTGCTACACAAGGAATTTGAGATGCTTTACCTTTTTTAGCTCCTTCCGGCACTATTCTGTACACTTTATAGGGATCTGAGATGTCCAGCTGGCTTCTCTCCACCAGTTCTTCAAAGTCGTTGCTCTTGTTCAAAGCACACCTTAATCTTGTCTTCCAGGTAGGGGGATCTGGTTTATCAATGCCTTCTCTGAACTTGCCTTTAAAAAGAGCCCAAGCCTGGAAAAATTTCAGATAATCAAAGGAGAAAAGGAAAAAAAAAAAAAAAATCAACTACAAGGTACAAGTCCACAATGCTTGAAACAGCACATATGTGCGTGCTTATGTGTGCGTGAATTTACTCCCCACAGGTTTAGGCTAAGAAAAAAAAAAAAGCAGCACGAGAAGGCACGGAAAACAGTTTAGCAGGCACAAAGGAAAGGGAGTAAAACAACCCAGTGTGGAAACAGATGTGCTGCAGTCCCACAGGCGTTTAGCTCCCCACGGAGAAGTGGGAACAGGGAGGCCGTCTCACCCCACAGACACAGGGGACAGCCAGGACCACCGAGCAGGTGGCCGGCGGCAGCAGGCACCCAGCGGAGCCACCCTGCAGAGGCGGCACCGCGAGGGGCCACGGCAGAGCCCCTCTGGGCACCCCTCATGCTACGGCGGTGTCCCACAACCCCCACCCCGGGCTGAGCCCTACCTTGAAGAGGGCGGCATCCTCCTCGCGGTTGTAGTCCTGCTTGCCGGCATGCTTCCAGGGGATACGGAAGATGCTCTTCTCGTCATTCTCCC